ACTAAGCCACTCTCGCGCACCACTCATCAGCACCTATGCAAGGAAATCGGCCTCACTGCGTAAATCGACGACCAATGTCGTCTAGGGGAGTGTTGAATGTCGACTCCATGGACTCTCTTTCCCTACGTTCTCCTATTTCATCTTACTTACTCCTTTTGTTCATAACTCTTCCTATTCCGGATACACGTTCGCTGCCTGGCTATTTCATAAATCCTTTATTTCATATCACCCATTTCATGCTTACTTACAGGAACAAGCACGTTCGTGCTCGTCCCGTTACCTTCCGTAATACTTATACTATGGACTTCTGCAGCGCATACCTCATCTGTCATTCACCTTGTGTCTGACGTCGAGGTATGCCTGCTATTTTACCAGTTACCATCTTATATCTTACTGACTACCTTATCATTAGTTTCTGCTTCGCATTTCAGGTAGTCTAGATTATTCCAATACATCTGTCATTCACCTTGTGTCTGACGTCGAGTTTCTGCTTCGCATTTCACTTTAGTCGACATGCACGCCTTGTTGCTTGTTCCACCACCTACTAACAACAAATTGCCACGAATCTACCATGCCTCAATTCGCGACTTTTTGAAGGACCGATCACGCTCGCTTGTCTACTACATTGACGAAGGTCAGGGATATGCCTACCTCAGTCAACGCTGGCTGAAGATTATCGGAAATCGTGCCCAATCCCGGATCAGAACCTTCGTCGCATTAAAGGCATTCATTTATAATTGTGGCAAGACACATTCATCTGCCAATGACGCATTAGTGGATGACCTGGCGCGTTTCGATTTGAGCGCAATTTTCGAAGGATTTTCAAACTTCGAGGTGGATCTGTATTTTCCGAATTGGGGCGGTTTTATGGGATGTATAAAGCAAATGGTGAGTAGCAACAAATTGAATTAATTCACGGACCAACGCCATATTTTTTGTGCAGGGAGGCAGTCGAGATGATGTTTTTCCCCGTTTGCAGAGTGATTTTTATTCATTCTTCCTCAATCGTATTGGTCGATATCCACAATCTCTCCAACCATATATCCCAATTCTTTTGATGGGACACCCACAAGGCCTGGATATCTTCGATATTTTGCTTCATGGTGCAAGTCGATCAGCGGAAGAATTCAAAGAATTGAATGATCTCGACAAAAGCTTACTGGATATATCCTCGTTTGATCACGCCGAATGGCTTCCTATCAAGGCATTGCTGGAAGATACGGCAAAAGCTGGAAAATTCTCCGTAAATGGTGGACACTATGCAGCTCTGGCGAAGGCAATAGTTAAAGTCATCTGTGCAAAGTAAGCAGCGATATTTTTAAGATATGACATTATTGAGTGTTTACCACATCTGCCTTGTAGACCAGGCGAAAGGAACTATCAAATCAAGTTTGAGAAGCTTGATGACCTCGGTGTCCGCTATATATTAGATGGCTCCGATCCGACCATGCGAATAGCACTCAAGGATCCGGAGCTCAACTGGTTCAGAGAAATCCTTGAGAAATCATGGATAGATCTGGATCTTGTTAAACTCCTGCACGAGCACACCGTTCAATTCGAAAATAGTGTTTCCTTGACCTCAGGACACAAGAGGATCGCTGAAATGAGTAGAAGATATATTGAGGTAAGTGATCTTAGTTTGTAAACTTTCAACAATTTTTAATGGATTTATGACCGTAGCAATGCGAACCCTTTTCACGAACGAGTACAGTCTGTGAGATAAAAATAGAGAAAATAGCATAGACCATGTCCTCGATAAGTAGGTCGATTGCCTTGAAGGCAATTCATTGCAAATTTGCGATGGTGGAGTCGATAAGAGAGAGAGAGATGCCTTAATTATTCTGTATTACCTCCCACAGCACACGTTTCAAGGGTGGGTCCTGAACGCACCTTCAAGCGGAGTTCAATTCTTTTCTTCAACACCAACGTTCAACGTTCATCGTCCATCACCCAAGTCCTTTCTGTACGAATTAAATACGAATCGTCAAACATGCCTCTTTATCTCAAAGGATACAGGCTAGATGACGACAAGATCGCCAAATTATTTCACTGCGAAGACCCTACGGATTATAAACCCGCCATCATCAGATGCATCGAGCGCGACGCGTACAGGTACATCGCGAACGGCTTCGAGCCCAACGGGGACCTCAACCTCATCATTGTGATGCAGGGCGGCAACGACGCGGTGGCGCTGACCCAGACGCCGATGCCGGATTCGGAGGACGCGACGCTGCTGGACATCGCGCGCAAGGTGTGTACGGCCGGTGTCTGGCCGTGCTACGATGGTGTGTCTCGCAAGATTTTGCGATGAACGTGCACTTCTCATATTAGGTGGATGGATAGATGTCGATAATCCCACCACATTTTGGGCAGAGTGGTTGAAGCATGGTCGGTGCCGTCTGGGCGAAATAAAGGAGGAATCAAAGGGACAGTAGCTTCCTGCGACCTGGGGTGTATGTACATTCAACAGTCGCCGAAAAGCAGACAACGGAAGAAAGTATCAAATACTCAGAAACGGACGCATGCCATTATGTCAGTAGAATTTGTGGTGGTATAGACCAGTTATCCAGATGGGAAATGTACTAAAAATATGAAGAGTCGTCATCATCTTGGTGCAGTTCATTGAAAGCAGTAGCTCGACACTCTATGTATGCTCTCTGATCAAGATTCATCATTTGTATCCCTTCCTCTGGCCCATTACAGGGTGACCTGTGTGCTATGACACGACAAATTGATGACAGTAGGAAGCTTCCCGCTAGTAAGCCAATGAGCCAACCGTGCGTCTGGGATCGGGAGGGTTCGATTCGCGTTGGATGATACCCAGATATGCTGTTACTCCCGCTGATCTGCACCCCACATCGACGACACGAATACTAGTATACGCAGACAACACGAACGAAGTGGTGCGGTGACGCAGAGATACGAGAATCAGTGCGAAGGGTGTGCGCTCGCCATCGCCAAAGATGCAACGGCTACCGCATACGATCGGGAGAAGACCTCAAGCAACCAGCCGAGGCAGGTGGTGAAGGGCCCTTCTGATAGGTCGAAGCGGTCCACATTTCCGGCGAAGTAGGAGTGAGCAATGGGGGTGGTACTAGGGTGTCCGATCCTACTCCTACATGTCCAGCGAACGCGAGTAGGGTAGGGTACCATGTAAAATGGTATCGTCCAGCCAGCACAAGCACCCCGCGGTGCCGACCACATCGTCAGCAGGCCCCCAGGCGGCGCTGTGGGGCAGCGCAGGCGCACAAGCATGCCTGCGGTCCGTTCAGCGATACTCATCATCGTCCCTTATCGGTCAGGTCAAACACTACCCGCAGGAACTCCAAACAACCAACGATTAGATGCTGGACTTGAAAGGAATCGACGAATGCGACGCCCTTCATCACGAAAAACGATATTATCTCTGGAGAAATGTAGGTATCTCTAAAAGACACCTAGAGACACCAAGAGCACTGAAAGCCCTCAGAGACAAAAAGATCTCTAGAGTTACGTTACCATTGATGTGATTTACCCAGGTGTCTCTGGATGTCTTTGGGAGTCCTTAGGGAGTTGTTGGGGAGTCTTTGAAAACTCTTTGGAAGTATCCTTGGTTTCTTTCAGATAAGGTCTTTCTATCCTTGTCTTTGATGCTTTGCTTAGACAACAATTGAATGTAATAGTAAAATAGATTGTATTACTCTATATAAGCTATAATACTTATGTTATGACTTAATCTATGCACTATGTAATCTACACTAACTATCCACCATCATGTGCACATCCACCGCCCTCACACGTCCGCCACCCTCGCACGTACGCCGCCCTTGCACTCCGCCGCCCTCGTGCTCCGCCGCCCTCGCGCGTCCGCCACCATCGTGCTCCACTGCCCTCGCGCATCCGCCACACTCGTGCTCCACTGCCCTCGCGCGTCCGCCACACTCGTGCTCCACTGCCCTCGCGCGTCCACTGCCCTTGCGCATCCACCGCCCTTGCGCATCCGCCACCCTCGCGCGTGCGCGCGCCCGTTGTGTATCTCCCCGTTGTCCGCCGCCTCCACCGCCATTGTGCACATCCACCGCCCTCGCGTGTCTGCCGTCCTCATGCTCCGCCACCCTCATGCTCCGCCGTCATCGCGTGCCTCCGCCGTTGTCATCGCCCGTCCATCGGGTGCCGCAGTTGTCACCATTTTCGTGAGCCTCCCTTGCCTGCATGCGCCGCAAGTTGTCGCGAGCCCCTGTTGTCTGCCACCCTGTCGATTGCCGGCCCACATCCCTCGTTGGAGGGGAGGGGTGCGCGGCGAGAGGGAGGGGGAGGAGAGCGGCGGTGTGGGCGGCGACGTCACGCATTGCCGGCCCACGTCCCTCATTGGAGGGGAGGGGCACGCGGCGAGAGGGACAGCGGCGGTGTGGGCGGTGATGTGGCGTACACTACCGACATTGCATTGCTGGCCCACATCCCTCGTTGAGGGAAGGGGCACGCAGCGAGAGGGAGGGGAGGAGAGCGGCAGTGTGGGCGGCGGCGTGGAGAATTGCCGGCCCACATCCCTCGTTGGAGGGGAGGGGCACGTGGCAAGAGGGAGGCAGCGGCGGCGAGAGGAGAGCGGGGGGTGGCGAATTGGCGATGTGCACGGTGGCCTGTCGGTGGTGACGTGGCGCGTGCCCCAGTGCTGACTCCACCTGCAATGCATGGTCAGTGACTAAAGGATGAGGAGGCGAACTTACCTCGCGCCTCTCCTGACGTGGACATCCTCCACGTCGACGTCCCCCACGTCATCATCACCAAGGCCCGTCGCCGTCCACGCCGTCGTCGTTCGCGTTGTCGTTCACGTCGTTACGGGCGTTGTCGTTGGCGGTGGCGCCCGTGCTGTCATCCTGGAAATGAGTTGGCGGCGGGGGGGCGAGTTGGGGCTGGTGGTGGTAGTGGTAGAAGCGAAGAGAGGAAAGGACTTGGAAATTATTCTAAGTCCCGCGTGCTACGGAACTACTAACATAAGGTATATACTTTTATTTCAAATAACCGACCTATGGCTTAGTTGGTAACGCGCCTTGTGCCTGGTACATTGCACGTGATGTCGTGTGTTCGAATCTCATTCGGTGCACTATTTTTCCAAGGTCGCATCAGGGGCGTGGGAATTGCCTGGCAAGCTGAAAGTACTTTCGGTGTAATTTCTGCGCTTTCTACACTTTCTAAGCTTTGGGAAATGTTCATACGTCTGAAAGTATGGGCTAAAGGGATTACTGATCTCTAAGCAACTAAGTACAGACCTCAGAACTAAATTGTATAGAAAGTAAAACTAAAGGCACTCTGAGAGCATGCTAGGCTGCTTTGGAGTGCTTTGGCACGCTCTGGCATCTCTGGCATATACCTGGCTTACCTGGCTGGCTCTAGCACAAAGGCGTTTTTCGTGATGTTGTCCTTGAGACTGAGGGGTCTCACTACAGCGGGCGATCGTAGGCCATGAGTCGAAAACAGCCTCGCGATCGCAGCAAAGGACACCCTCCGCGACGGCTGTCCTGCATTTCTGAAGCAGGAAATGGCTCCAAGGAGGGAGAGGAGAACGAAATAAGAATGCAGGTCCGTGTTATCGATCTTAAGAGATTCCCCGATACAAGAAATAGGATAAACCAAAATAAAAAATGAAAATAACACCGTTGCGCAAGCGCTGCTCTCGGAATCGCCAAGCATATATGCAAGGTCTGGAATCAGGAGAGTCTTGGAGCCACAAGCGAAGGCGCGTGCGAGCAGCGGCGCGACGCACACCCGACGCAGGGTGCAAGAAGGGCGGCATACTGACGTGTCGACATGGAATAGCATCTGTGCACGGCACGCGGTCGACGCTCCTTGCACTTTTCAAATAGAGGACATCACCTTGAGACCTATATCGCAGAATATCTGGTACAAGCCACAAGTGTCGAGGAGACCGACACTCATGGCGCCGCTTGCACGCGAACGCGAGATGCGGCGGAAGCGCAGCAGACGGAGCTGCTGCCCGCCTCGGGATCCAGATTGAGCCGTCGGGCATGTCCTCTCTGGAATGCAAAGCAGGTCGATCTGGGCGTGCGCGGCAAGACAGAGGGCATTGGAAGAACGTCGTTGGGAACACGCACAGAGGGATACACTGCACACAAAGGAAGAACAGGCTACGTAGCTTGAATCCCTGCGGGCCCACCGGCTGACTCGCCAGCCGGAAGTGAAGGTCGTACTTGAGCTTGAGCTTGAGAGGTAGGAGATAAAAAGATATGACGAGAGACATGATATCCAAGCGCTGGGATGTTGGGGTGCGAAGAGGTGGATGGTGAGAGAAGGACGAGGCAAGTGGACCGTGCGCAAACAGAGGTACCGGCCCGTTGAATCCGGGTAAAATCCCGACCAGCCGCTACACCGCTTGTGGCCAACCACCACGCATCATCATCTCGGGACGGCTTACCAACGGCTTACTGTTCAACGTTCAAGCTCAAGCCCGCGCCAGATTCAACAACTCTGACCGATACCTTGCATATCTCCCGCGTCTTGCAGGTGCGTATCCGGGAGTTTCAGTGCCTTCTAGCTCCGTAACAAGCCAAGGCTACTTGCATACGTCACTGTTTCTTCGATTTTTGCTCTGTTACTAAATGTATGTTGTCCAACCAATATTCATGGCTGGGGACTCGCGGGCATATTATGAGGCTGATGAGCACTTGAAGCTTCAATGACCATTGTCGAAGGATGGTTCCGAGCCAATATAATGCAGACTAGATTGACTAGACGCCGTCTGAATATTATATATTGTCGACCTGATAGAATTGAAATCGACCATGCCGCGGCATCAGAGGAAGTCCCAACCTCAACGCTATCGCATGCGCATTATGAATTCGATGCAAGGTTTCATTAGCGGAAAGATCATTGACACTCAGGCGATGTTCGGAAATATGCTACAAAGAGGAGAAAGAAGAAGAAATGGGCTGTGAAATACACACCTCGCTCTCGCAGCTGGTAGACATGGTACGAATATAGACACAAACGACACGGGTATCAGTCTGAGAGGGGTGGCTGCGAAGACGTTGTGTTTTGCACAATAAAAACAATGAATGGATCGAGTGCTCACTTTTCATCGTCATATAGTAACACTATCATATCTTGTGTGGGGTCCATCGTGAAAGTCATAACTAACATCCCTGTCTGATGTTCTGAGGCGTATATTTCTCGAGATTATGGGAGGTAGGTAGCGATATGATCTGCGCGATCTGCTCTATTTTTGTACAAGCGAATGCGGCTCCGACAAGGTTAAGTGTGCGACCGTCGTGCGGTAGATGGAGCGTAACAGGCTCCACTAATTCAAATGAAAGCCACGCCTGGCGATATTGCAGAAGATGCTCGAGGAGATCGGCATGGGGAGCGGACGATCTGGGGTCTTTCAGGCCGTTCATGTGAAGTTGAATAGTATATGCTAATAATGAAGAGTACTTGATGGTTTCACAGATGGATTTGCATGTCTAGAACCCCGCACATTCAACAACTGCTGTCGAGATCAGACTTGGGAGTAAGATCGCACCATCGAACAGCGGCCTAGAGCAACAGCATCAAGAAGGGAGAGGACCCTGATTCTCAGCTCTTCTGGAACGCTGGAGAGACTATTCGTCATCTGGAAGGAAAGCTGGCAAGCTCGAATTGAGCAAAATATAAATGGTAGTCTGGAAATGTTGTAATCGATTCGGTGGCAAATGAGCAAATGTATATTCTATTGTTACGTAATGAAAGTGGACTAGAACAGCCAACGGAGGACCAAACGGAGGACCAAACGGAGGACAAGAGAACTGTATCGAATCCCATTCCTCTGCTTGTGTACGTACGGTGCCCAGCTGCGGGTCGAAGAGCATTGGGTCCGTCGCTCTGCCTCCCCACACCCAACTACCACTGATCGTCGCCATCCCATCCCGCGGCCGCGACGCTCCAATCCACCCAGGTCCCTCGTCCTATCCACTGCAAAGGACACCCATCCAAAAGCGCCCCAACCGCCCCAAGCTCGCGCGTAGTCCGTGCGCGAGCCTATCGGTCCGTGGGCGGGCAGAGGCCGTCGAAACGAGATGTATCCCCCGGGTACAGACCGACTTCTATGTGTGCGTCTGCAATCCGCGGCGCACTATATCTATATCCTGCAATAATTCGATAGATGAGACCCACAAGTCGCGCGTGATCTCGACACGAGATTGCTGGATATGTCCGCTCCGTCATCCTGGGACAGAGGGCTGGCGTGTATTAGTCGTTATGCCTGAACGTATACTGGATGCTGATAGCGTTAGTCATACACTGGGGGGATCTGGTGCTGGGAGAGAGGGATGGACGAACGAGATGAGAATTGTAGACAGCGACGTAGTGCGCTGGTGGGATCTTATCCAATCATCGAGCGATCTGCCTTCCCCGCAGCGCGATAACGCAGAGGTCGTTGCGCCTTATAAGCACGAGCCCGCAGGATAGCGAACCTGTTGTCCGATATAAGTGCGTGATGCAACGCGGAAAGTGAAATGTTGTGCGCTTACACCTAAGATAGACATTCGTACCACCCTATCATAGCCTATCATCCAGTGTTGTCTCCGGATCCACCAACAATCCAGCGAACGCCGACGGAAATTCTGCTGTACCGTTTGGAGACAATTGAACAGCGTTGACCCATTAGGTCGGCCTGTTTGCTATGCTACGACGGTGCGATGTCAATAGAAAGCTTCATGTTGAAGCAGCGAGTCAACATGCATCCGGAATCGGGAGGGTTAGAGCTGCGTTCGATGGTGCCCAGATATGGCATCTATGCCACAGATCGACACGAACATATTTATGCAGATGACATGAACGAAGTGGGTTGGGGGAGAAAAAATATGGGACTTGGTGCGAAGGGCTTTCCACTCGTTATCGCCAATAAAGAGACAAGTGTTGAATCAGGAGTGAGCAACGGGCGCTGTAAGATGTGCAATCCCCATGTCAGCGAGAGCGAATGGGATACCAACGTCAAATGATATTCATCCAGCGAGCACCAGCACCGGGCTACACGCAAAAGAGGACATCATCGAAAATCAGCTTCTATTTGGCCCACCCCAAGATGCCGTAAACCGCGCCAGACGAGCAGTAGCGAGCGCTGCAGGTCGTGGGATCCAAAGTACGCCATGGAGGATGTCCTCTTTAGAGTGTGGAACCACACGGGAACTGCATATCATACAGGGGTGGCACGGCGGCAGGAGGAAATCGGGCGGACGTGCATATGAGAGAAGGACGCGGTACTCACCTTGGCGAGCACGCATTCGCTAGTCACTCCCTGCACTCCCTGGGAGGACTTGCAGCTGGTTCAACTTTTGCTACATAGCTCCTTAGTGGAAGGCAGGCTGTAACAGAATGTCCGATACGCAACGCGGCCCACACACGGGTGCAGGATAGCGTCAGAGAATTGCCTAGAGCACGAGCCATTGGAAGACATAAGACCGCTCGTCAGATCGTGAGCCCACAGAGCAAGGTGTCGGTGGCCGGTGAACTGGAGGATGAACGATGTGAATGGTTGCCTGGTGAGAGAACGGTACAGCGAGCAGCAGGTGGTCTGTGCGTGATTGAAGATACCGGCCCGTTAATTCCGAGAACTCCGAAGGCTTCAGCCCTTCGTCATGATCACTGTCTTCGCGCTCTTCACCCCCGGCAGCCTCGCAGCCCATGCCGTCTGCTGGTGGATGGATACCGTTCTACATGTTATCCGCTTTGCGCTCGTATATCATGTTATGTTATAATCTATGTAGTAGTAGAGACATTTTTTTTTTTTTTTTCAATTCATGTTTGCCAAATCTTTGCAATGGAGCAATGAACTATGAGTGCGCGACAATTTCATCAAATCATATGTATTCATGACAGCGTCCGCAGATCCCAATCTTATCTGAAGCGGATAATCGCTCCGTGGTGGTGGAAAATCCAGCATGAAGGGCGTGCATCATGCAATTTTCAAGACTCAACAACCGCCCGATGAGCCAGGTACCGTCCCTGTCTCCCAATGTCGCCTTGAGACGAGACACATCCCTTCAACGCTATCCGATCTGCGGAGTGTCATAGATAGCCAAAGAACCAAGCAACTACACTCCTCAAGCGCCT